GAGGAAATACACAGCAGTGGAATTTCTTGGTGGTTTAGTAAGGGTGGGGTTAACTTGAATAAACTGGATAAGAATTTTTCAAACTGATTATTTTTTACATTCTCACGAGCAGTACATGCGCATTTTGGTTGCTCCACATCATAACCAACACAGTATGTCCGTCTTTTCACTTTAGTCATTCTAATGAGTATGTAGTAGTATCTCAGTTTTAATTTACATTTACTTGATGACTAATAATATTGAATATATTTTCATGGACTTATTGATCATTCCTATTACTCTTTGTGAAATGTCTGGTTTTTGTTTTTCCCATCTTTTAATTGAGTTGTCCTATTAGAAAGGGGTTCTTTCTATATACTGGATACAAATCCTTTATCAGATAGATGTATTGCAAATAACTTGCTCCCATTATGTGGTTTAAGGTCTCTTTCATATTCTTAACAGTGTCTTTCAAAGAGCAAAAGCTTAATTTTGAGAAAGTCCAAGTATTTACTTTTTTCTTTTTTATAGTTGTGCTTTTCATAGTCTATCTAACAAATCTTAAGTTATTCAAGATTATGAAGGTTTTTGCCCATTTCCTTCTATAAGTTTTATGGTATTAGCTCAACTTTTAAGGCTATGATTCATTTTGTGTTAATTTTTGTATGGTATGAGGTAGGAGATGATACTCATTTTATTCTACATAGATATACACAGAGACATTTTATTTTGTTGAAAAGATTTTCCTTTACCCTGAATTACCCTGACACATTCATCAAAAAACAATTGCCCATAAATGTGTGGTCTATTGCTGGATTCTTAATTCTGTTCCATTGATTTACATATTTACCCTCATGTCAATATCATACTGTCTTCATTACTGTGGCTTTAGAGTAAGTCTTAAAATCCGTTTGTATAAGCCTTCCAACTTAGTTTGTTTCAAAGATTCTTTTAAAAATATCACCTAATTTCTTAACAATTTTAATGTGCTCAAAGTTTCATTCATTCATTGTGGAAACATTGATTGAGTACTTCCTATGCTCTACCTACTTAAGCTGGCACTGTGTTCCAGTAATAAATAACACCCAGTCCCTGTCCTCAAGGAGCTTAGAATCTACAGTCTAACAGGAAAGGCACCTGGATCATGATCCACAGGGAATAGGAAAAAGTGAGGAAAGAAATTAGTTTCAGTTGAGAAGAATTTTAGTAAGTTTTATAGATGGCACTGCACAGAAGATGTAATCTTTTAAAAGATTCAGTTGTCTTTCAGTCAGAAACAAAAAAGGCATGCATTTTATCTGACAGCATTACTATTATGAATAGAAGAAGAAATGCACATATATCATTTGGGTATTCAATAAGTGGCAACATTCATCATGACTAATACTAATAATAGTAGTAATAAAAGTATATATCCCATCACCCTGCAATATCACCCTTTCTACCTCCAACTCTGACCTATATACTGCACTTTAATTTCACTTCCATAAGTACTCATTACTAACATGCTAGTTGCAAGAAATATTATATCAGCTTACATTTAAATTAGTTAACAACGATTTTTATTTTTTTTGAACCAATAGTGGAATTCTAAAACAAGAACTGTCAGGGACAAATTGAGCAAGACATCTTTTCATTTTTGTACCACTAAATGGGTAAAGAATTCTTTTTAAAATTTCAAACAGAAAGTGGGGGAGGAAATGTAAAATAAAACAAAATTTTATGAGGATCTTTGAACATTTTGTGTTTTTAATATCTCCAGACAGCCCATCCTACTGTTAAGAGGGAAATGCAAGAGAGGAGACTATGTGCTTAGGAATGGAATCTATTGAAAGCAAAAACAAAACCAGAAGCTGCATTAGGTCCTGAGTTAAAAAGAAAAAAAGCCCCAGCAATTTGAAACTGAAGGGGAGGGGGTAGTGAGAAGAAGCCAAGACTAGGGGAGGTATGTGATGCATATTTATTAACAGAGCTGATAATGACTGAAAGATCCTTTTAACCAGGAGAAATTGCCCCATTAGAGGACTGCCAACTAATAAAACAGGCAGATAAGAAAGCGTGAGTCATGTGAACTTGGCGTCTGGTGCCAGGGAGAGTACATACAATGCAGCTCCAACACACAGTCTTTACTTGTAGCAGTGAGTGACCTGGAGACCTTACCACGTCCACACGCGTCTCCTTGATTCTTGCTCTGAACCATGTCACAACAAACAGAGCCGTAGCCATGGAAGGGGGGTGTTGCTAAATAGCACAGTAAGATGCGGTATGGAAATTTTATTAGAACCTTAGATGTAAGAAACACCCTCTGCTGGTGTTTCATGTTGGATTAAAGTCAGCTCTCTCTCATGTATAAGGTAAGGCTTTCAGTCTCTGTGGTTTCTGCTAGTTTTGGTCTCCTTCGTAGTGACAGAAAATGACTTTCACTCATTTCTTTACTCTGTTCAATGGGAGGAGTTTGTAGTGAAAGGCAGACAGCAAATTTTCCAGAGTGGCTAGAATATTCAGTGAATTGATTCTGGGCTACTGTCCTCCGCCTTCCACATGGACTAATGGATGAACAGCATATAGTCTTCAGTGTATATTTAAAATGGGAAAGTGCGCCTTTAACTAATCAGCTGTCAAGACTGCATAGAATTAAAATGACTCAGAGAAACCCAACTCAAAGTGCTGGGTCTGCTTTAGAGATCCAGGTCTCTGCAGTGGGTTTTCGCCCTCTGTCAGCCTTTCCCCTTTTGTGATTTTTCATATAGACCTCGCTCAAGACTTCTGCAGCTATTTCAGTGTCCAAAGAGAAATGTGGCCACATTATGTGCCAACTTTAAACATACTTTTATCTCTCTGCTTTTCTTTATAGTCAGGTGTTTTATAATAACAAACAGTAACAAAGGCTTTTTTTTTTTATTACTTAAGATATTCAGCGGCTTTTGTCTTCCTAGCGTCAGCAGTAACGTCAGAGGATTGTATCCAAGGAGCTAAATGTGCAGGACCCAGGGTCAGAGCAGCTGAATACACCAACCTCAGAAAACACAGACAATGAATTGCAAATGACACTCAAAACAAAACGAGAAAAAAAACCTTCACACAGAAAACTACAAAAGAACTCTACAGACACTGAATTGGCTTTCTGTACACACTGATCCTGCTTAACTGTGTGTGGTAACTAACCGAATGTTTCAGATACTCATGGCCACAAAATAAAGGCTTTGGGAGGGGGGGCGGGTTGTGGAGAGAGAAGTTACAAAAATAAAAATATTATTTCTTTCCTTCAAGTCTCTTATTTTAAAAACACACACATACCATTCAATAAGTGGAGATAGAAGCAGCCCTTTCTATTTCAATCTTCAAACAAACACACTAAAGAGTGGCATTAGCGATGAAGTGATTAGTCTTCCGTTAATTCTGCTGAAGGTTCTACACAAAAGGTGTATTGTTTCAGCTGGGATTCACATCATGAAACAAAATGGTTTGGTAAACCCAATAGAAGTGATAGCCCTTTCATGACACACAGGGTTCAGTACTGTATATTTCAACTTGTTAGCAAGTCAGAAGCACAAGCGGGAAATCAGCCTATACTGCAGCTGAGGATGAATGGGAAAGGCTAAATTGATGAGCCGCTGTTTAGATTTTCCCACTGGGAATTATTCTGAACTGTCGAGGCATTACATCATTCAGGTAAATGGTAGCAAGACAACATGCTTCTTATTTCTTTATGGCCAACCAAAGGGCAATATAAAAACTTGAAAAGAAATACAGACTCTTTATCCATAATGAGAAATAAAATTCCTTAATTGTCAAATTATAGTCAATTGCAGCTGATTCTTGGTAACGGAGAGCTAACTGCATTCTGGTTGTAAACCAAACACAATGCAAAAACCTTTTACAGGTTTTTTTTAAAATGAACCTCCTTATACCATACTTTAAATCAGAGACAAATCATATTGATGTCATAGACATATATGAAAGTAAAATTTATTACACTTATTAGGATTTAAATTATTTTAAAAAAACATTTCATAATGTTTATAAGCAAAACTTTTTTTGCCTCGTACTCTTTGTATCAACTTCAAGATAAAAGCCAAACTCGTTAATATATGGCATCTCTACACCTATAATATACTAAACAGTCACATCAAAGTAGCAAGACTTCCTCATGAAATGGTTGCTTATAATATCCATACTCATAAGGTTACTAGTGTCTTTTAAAACTTAGTTGAATTCTCCTCTTCAAAAACAGCCTACTCTCTAACCTTAAGTGACCTTTCTGCTCTTCTTCCCTTAGATTCTGGCTGTGGGTCTATTATAGAATTTATCATACTATATGAATTACCATTTTATTTGTTAGTCTCTCTTACTAGACTGTGAACTCCTTGAGGACAGGTGTCCTCATCTCTATATTTTCAGGTTTCAGTCTCACTGTCTGATCTATAGTTGATGCTCAATAAATGTTATAGATGGGTATATAGATAAATTAATAGATGGATGGATGAAAAGGAAGCAAAACATAAAGAAGAAAGGAAAATGAGTTCAGAAATTGGTGTGACATGAATTGGATGTTTCAGGAGCTATAGGAGTAATTGCATGGATGTAATGGGTTCAATGACTGTCATCCAGACAATTACTAAATACATTCTAATACACATCATGCATCTTTATTTCCTCTTCCTCTCCACCCTTAACCTTGAGTTTTCTGCTCTTTCTTCCATCTCTCTGGATTAATAACTTACATTTTACAGGGCTTTCTCTTCATACTTACCCCTTCATAATTCTGTGACATTTATTGTATGTCCCTTTGCTTAGTCAAGGGGACAAGTTCAGAGAAGTTTTCTCTATTTTTGTTTAAGCTTTAGACATGATAGGGGCAGCTGCAAGTATTGCAGAATTCCATAGGCAACCCTCTGAGTTTGGTAACACTTAGGTGTTAGCAAAGCCTGATTGGCCAGACACGCAATACTAGTGAAGTAAGAATAAAGACATATCTTTTATCCAAGTATTTAGAAGCAAATTCAAGAAGGGAATCTTACCCATAGCTTGTTTTCCCATGGCGCACTGATATGTGTTTCTTGGGGACTGGTTATGATGAGGGTATGGAATCAGGCCCGCACAAACTCCAAGAAGAGTAAAGGGTTCAATCTCCAAGTGGGTGGTATCTCTAGCAAGTTAATTAAGAATAGACATCTTAGGCACGACCAAGTATAAAATAAATATCACTGAAAGGGTATGAAAATATTACTAAGTCCCTATAGGATCTAGATAATAATATTTAAGTTGATATAAATATATATAATAAATTTATATAATAAAACCTCAATAACAAAATTTGATGCTAGTAAAACTGATAAAATATAATAAAACAAATTTTTTAGCGATAGAAGCTTCTATTATTTGTAGAAATACAAGAGAAGGAAAACAGTATGGAATGTCTATATAAAAAAGTATTATTATATACTAACTACTAATAACAACAACTAGCATTTATAAAGAAATTATTAATCAAGCATATAGGAATGCAGATCAAAAACATCCACATGGATAACTTGCTTTTCTTTACTTTTCCAACTTAGATCAATGAGAAAGTTGTATCACCATTCAAGCATATAGGAATGAAGATCAAAAACATCCACACGGATAACTTGCTTTTCTTCACTTTCCAACTTAGATCAATGAGAAAGTTGTATCACCATTTTATTTTAAATATATCTTTATTGATTTCAGAGAGGGAGAGGGAGAGAGAGATAGAAACATTAATGATGAGAGAGAATCATTGATCGGCTGCCTCCTGCATGCCCCCCACTGGGGACTGATCCTACAACCTGGACATGTGCCCTTGGCCAGAATCAAACCCAGGACTCTTCAGTCTGCAGGCTGACACTCTATCAACTGAGCCAAACCAGCTAGGGCTGTATCACCATTTTAGAGGGAGAAATACATCCCCTTTAAGAATAGTTACTATAGTCCTAGAGGGGCCAATGCCATAACCACTAGCTAAGTGTAGCTATTAAGCACTTGAAAAGTTACGACTAGTACGACTAAAGGACTGAATTTTAAAATTTTACTTAATTTTAATCACCTTACATTTTATTGATTTTAGAGAGAAAGGGAGAGGGATAGACAAAAACATCGATGAGACAGAAACATCAATCAGCTGCCTCCTGTATGCCTCCTACCGTGGATCAAGCCTATAACCCAGGCATGTTCCCTGAATGGGAACTGAACCGGTGGCCTCTTGGTTCATGGGTTTACTCTCAACCACTGAGCCACACTGGCTGGGCTAATCACCTTAAATTTTAAAAGTCATATTTAAATTGAAATAACTTAGTTCAATCATTTTAAACCTTTTAGTTACGTTTGTAACAACTTAACATTTGTGAGTCTACTTTTTCAACTGTGTTAATGAGATCAGATCAAATATTTCCAATAAAATTTAGCATCCAAATTGAGATGTGCTGTTAAGTGCATACCAGATTTTAAAAACTTAAAAGAAAATGTAAAATACGTTCATATTTTCATACTGATTACATGTTGACATGACAACATTTTAGATATATTGGGTTAAATAAAATTACTGAAATTAACTTCATCTGTTTCTTTTTTACTTTTTAAATGTGGCTGCTAGAAATTTTAAGTTATATAGGTGGCTTGCATTTTATTTTTATTGGATAGCTCCACTATAGACATTGAACACAAAGTAAGACTTTACATACTAAGTGTCAGAATCTTTGTTACTTTCATAATACATTTTTGCAGAAAACTCAGTTTTGGCTAAATGATTAAGCAATTCAGAAAATATCTGAGAAAGAGCAGCCAAATTATTTGTAGGTCTTTGCTGAAAGTAACAGATATCACATCCAGGATCTGTGGTCTCTGTTGCCTGTCTATCCAGCGGTTCTCAACCGTGGGCCGCGACCATTGGAAAACACATATAGCATATCAGATATTTACATTACGATTCATAACAGTAGCAAAATTACAGTTATGAAGTAGCAATGAAAATAATTTTATGGTTGGGGGTCACCACAACATGAGGAACTGTATTAAAGGGTCGCGGCATTAGGAAGGTTGAGAACCACTGGATGCCTTCCTTAAGTGTTTCTGAAGCATAACTTCAATCATTTCAATGGCTTATAGTACCTGTGAAGAGAAGTAATTTCCAACATAACCCAATCCATCATAAAAAGAATAGTTACAACACACATGACAGAGGACCTCCTGCTTATTTATCTTTTTGTGTATTGAATTATGTCTCTAGTTGGGTTATAGAATGAACCCCAATCCTCTTAGACAAGTTAGAACTTTGTCAGGAGAGAGGAAAAGTACTTTGAGAGATTCATACCTTTAAGGAATTAAAATTCTGATTAAAAGCATTATTAACTAACTTATAATTAGACAAAAATAAAGTAGTATATTTCATTTGATAGCAGGAAACAGAAAAGTACTTTCTCGCTAGAGGACATAAGTAGTTATCAGCTGGTAGTATCAAACTCCCTAACTATTTAACAATATATTCCCATTTCAGGTAAGCAGTACATCAGTAACATGCAGCAGACAGCAAGTATATAAATGTCCTCTAATGCTTCTAAAAATATCACTGTTCTAGGAGAAACACTGTAAACATAGCACCATTTCATGTTTATATTACACATAAGTTCAGAGGCATCTTAACTGCATACTATGTAGGGAATTCCTGCATTGATAATAAGAATCCAAATGTCCACTGATAAAATCCTCTCCAGAAGAGATCAATACATCTTGTACATATCCTGATTCATTAGTTCAATTTTGTTAGTAATTAAATATTAAAATCAGAGCAGCAATTCCTTTTAAAATATAAATACTAAGTGTAAAATGCATCGGAAAGATAATTAAGTCTAAAAATGACTTGTTTGCAGTTTTGTTATATTCTTACATTGAGATAAATGATGGATTATCGTTTATTATAAAACAGTATACTTCTAGCAAAGGACACAATAGAAAAATTGAAGATGAAATGGAACGAGAAGGTAGTTTCTATAAGCAGATAGGTTTTACTTATGGTTGTTACGGATCCTACTTACTTATTAATTGTATGCTCATAGAGTGCGATGTTACAATCATTTTCTTCATTCACATCTAGATATTCCACCAGACTCTCATGTAAGAAATCTTCAAAATTCCTGGGAAAATATTGGTGAAGCATACATTACTAAAAAGCATTTAATTACAATATTATATATGTAATAATGGAAGATCTGGCTTTCATTTACCCAAAGCACCCTTCTCTCCCAGAGAGTATCAGAACAATGGGATACTTGAAACATGCTATTCTTGGGTCATACAATGATCACAAATCACTGATCAGTAAAACATCTGTGATTCTTGTCAATCTGGTCCCCAATCTAAAAATATCTTTGATGACTTTAGAAAGTCCATATGATGAGAGCCCCACAGTGTCTATATCAACATATTAATGAAAGTCTGTCTTTTACTACAAATACTTAACAGTACACTAATTTACACCAAGAATCTGGAATTCTCATGATCTAAGTTGATAAATATTTTACAATATCCAAGCAAGTTCACATAGTGAAAAATGGATTTTTAATAGGCTAATATATTTAGTGAGGAGGAATTAAAGGATTAAAAGTGAAAATACACTATTCTTAAAAGCTCAGGTAAAATAATGTTACTGTTGCCCTGACTGGTTTGGCTCAGTGGATAGAGCATCGGCCTTCGGACTGAAGGGTCCCAGGTTTGATTCCGGTCAAGGGCATGTGCCTTGGTTGCTGGCACATCCCCAGTGGGGGGTGTGCAGGAGGCAGCTGATTGATGTTTCTCTCTCATCAATATTTCTAACTCTCTATCCCTCTCCCTTCCTCTCTGTAAAAAAATCAATAAAATATATATTTTTAAAAAATAATGTTACTGTTGATTATATCATGTTGAATACTAAAGAGACTCAGAAGTTTTGCTTTTGGCCACTTACCTGTACCCCTGAGCCAGCTCTTCCATATGCTTATTCGTGACTGCAGGCTTTTGTTTCTTAACTATTATGTAGGGTCTGGAATGGAAAAAAATAAATTCATAGTAGTTCAACAGAAAAATTAAGTCAGCAGAAAGTTTACTATAGGGAAATGCGGGAACCTGTAAATATAAGCAAACTTATTTCTGCACTGCTTGAGGACACCAGGTAATTTTTACATGTGAATGCACAGAGGCTTCTTTTCTCTCTCACACATGCACATGCACAGACACATCAGCCCATGTCTGTATGTGTGCACAGATACATGTATACACATCCAGTACTTTTCCAAGTATCTTAGGAAATACTTGGTTCTGAGTGAAAAGGCAATTCAAAAATGATACTCAATGAAGTCTAAAAAGGATATAAATCCTTTAGTGTCACATTTTAAACTGTGTAAATGCATCATACTAAAAGCATCTCCTATTTCATACTGGAAATATGTCATCTTCCACCCAAGAAGTTAGCAGGCAGAGAAGAGCTGTCACTGAGGTTTACAATGGCATTTTGTAGTGAGGGCCTGACGAATATCAGCTGTTTAGAGTGATCTGCTTTAGGGTAAACATCACTGGGCTACAGAGCAGGCTGCCGAAAGCTACACATGACCAAAAAGAGTGGCAGTCAGTTTGCAGAGAATAAAGTTTTTTTACTTCGTAATTTTAGCAGCATACTGGGTATAAGGTACAGGGAGCTTTGGGTCTACATGTTCTGGTAGATTAAACTGTAACTGTCAGTGTTGATTTGCCTCTGAGCGCTTCACCACCACAAGGAAACACTGACACAAAGGATGGCATGCAGCACTGAAACGTCAAGGGCTGTTCTTATTTGGATAAGCAGCTCTTACAGAGGAGCAAGTCACCAGCAGACACTTGTGCCCCATACCCTAAAATCCAAATGACTATTGGAGAACTAATGAGCACTTTTAAATAGTTACAAGGAGCTGTACATTACAAGTTGCTGAAAAATGAACTGGGTGAACTTTTTGTGGAAATAATCTTCAAAGGCTGCAGTTTAGTTCAGGTTAAGGAACCCAGAAGTGATGACAGAGCAGTAGGAGGGAGAAGTTCACATTTAGCTACTTCAGTTACCTTTTACTTTTACTCAGTATATTCTAATTCTTCCTGCCAAATTTATGATATGCCATTATAAAATTACTTCTAAAAAAGAATTCATTTTCTTTTAGACTATGCCATATTATTTTAGATGTAAGGAAAGAGGAAAATCCTAAAGGAGTAACCTAGAAAATGCCATTGCTTCCCGCCCCCGCCCCCCCCAAAAAGACCAGGTCAGCCACAAATAAGCACTTAATACGTGTGCCTGGCACCCTACATGCACTAACCACAATCCATGATTTTTATTCTTGCCATTCCTTAGCTTTTCTCCTTCCCTCCAAGTAACACAATCCTACTCATCCTTCAAAACTCAGTTTATAGTGATAGAACGTAGTGGGTAAAACAATGAGTGTTGGAGTCAAATAAACTTCAAATACTTTCCAGTAAAAAGCAAACTCTACCAGTATCTAGCTTTGGGTAAGTTACTTAGTTTCACAAAACCCACTTCATTTGTTAAGTGAAAATAATAATCGAATCATAAAGGGTTGAAGGTAAAGCCTTATATATAAAACATCTATTAAAATAATAAATAATGGCTATCATGTACTACTAGCATAGTTGGTTGTTATTAGTAATTATTTTTGCTTTTGCCAGCAGGCTGAGCTCTCTGACGGCAGAGACTCATCAGTCTTTGAATCTTCAGTACTCAGGATGCATATTCATGAGGTGTTTGCTAACTGAATGAAATTTATCTTAACAATGAAAGAAGTTAAAGCAGATTTAAAAAATAAAAAAGTCTATTTCTTTCCAAAGTAAACATAGATTCTTAAAAACTCTTTTTAGCAACTTATACCTGCACAACCTTCCTCCATCAGAAGAAATATAGACACATCGATCTGTAAGATTTGTTGAGATGGAAACAAATTCATTGATGTATCCTGCTCTTCGCATCAGTCGAAACGTATTCACTAGCTTCTTATGGTCTCGAATGACACCCAGGATGTTACCTAAGCAGAAAGAAGAATATTTAAGACAGAAATAAAAAAGAGCCCTAACCAGTTTGGCTCAGTGGATAGAGCGTCAGCCTGCGGACTGAAAGGTCCCAGGTTCGATTCTGGTCAAGGGCATGTACCTTGGTTGCGGGCACATCCCCAGTAGGAGGTGTGCAGGAGGCAGCTGATCGATGTTTCTCTCCCATCGATATTTCTAACTCTCTATCCCTCTCCCTTCCTCTCTGTAAAAAATAAAATATATTAAAAAAAAAAAAGAAATCTAAGAGGATTTAAAATATATACCCAATAAAAATGATAAGCAGCACTGAGTAGTCACTTGAAAATACTCTTAACACCTCTAGCCAGTCTCTAAGGCTGTAGGGAAGCAACAGAGTGGAGTGGTTAAGGGCAGCCTGAGGGACCTGAGTTTAGCGTGAGCCCTACCAGATGCTAGAAGAGTAGCCCTGGAAAAATTAGTCTCATTTTCCTCATCTGTCAGCACCATGCTGGAGGCACAAACTTGGATTCAGACCCCCTGGGTTTGAACACTGGCTCTACCATTTCCAAAGAGCAGATGTGATAGCTTGAGGATTCAGAGAGGTACGGGCAGAAAGTGAAGAGTAATAGCTCACTCAATGTTGGCCACTGGGATACACTAAATGAGGCAGTCAGTTAATTGACATTTTCCTACTCACCAGCCCATGCAGTAGCAGGGGTCCTCAAACTTTTTAAACAGGGGTCCAGTTCACTGTCCCTCAGACCGTTGGAGGGCCGGACTATAGTTTTAAAAAAACTATGAACAAATTCCTATGCACACTGCACATATCTTATTTTGAAGTAAAAAAACAAAACGGGAACAAATACAATATTTGTATTTGCATGTGGCCCGCGGGCCGTAGTTTGAGGACCCCTACAGTAAAGGACTGAATCCTCCCAGGGTGGGAGGAAGAGGATTGTCGGGGCTAAGTGGTCAGGATGAGCACATGGAGCACAATGATGAGGGGACAGGCAACCAAACCACCAAATCTCAAGTAGAAAGGGCACATTTGCTAATGAGTTTCGAAGGACTCCGAAGGGGGTTGCAAGGGGTAGGTGAAAGAAACGACTAGAGCATGAATGGAAGGAAAGGAACCCTTTTGCCACAAGCTGTTAACAATCGATTATCAAGTGACTGAATATAAGTCAACTCACTGTCGGGGCCGATGTGTTTATTTTTGCAGAATGCCACACATATTTAACTTCAACTTAAAGATATCATGTTGAGGCTTATTCCACTGTGCATATGCTGATAGCTGCAAAAGTACAGAAAGCAGCTAGTCTTTGCCATGTTACCCTCTAGCTCTGATAGCTGTATCCTTGCAGAACCTGGATGATCCAGCCAATGGAATAACGATTTCTGTTACCATTTTCATACCTTTAAATTAACGTCAACCCGGGCCCAGGATAAAAGTATATTTGTGTTTTAAATACATGAATAATAATGGCTTCCCTCCCCCTCCCCCACAGACTGTTTATGATCAACATGTCTCCATAGTATGCTCACCATTGAGGAAGACGAGAAACACATTTGGGTAAGAGAGCTCTTCTCCACATAATAAATTCACATCTTCTACTCCCAGGTTACTGGCTAATCTAACAATGGGTCCATCTTCCATGTCAGTCGTGATGTGCGTCATAAGGGCCAAGTTTTTTACCAAACCACATGCCTAAAGAACAAAAGATAGTCATTTCTAAGAATGAGCACCAGTGATACAAAGTACAGTTTGTGTCCAAAAATAGTTCGACTTTTTGCTGATACAATGTAAAGCAGTACAACCTTGTAGGGGACAGGTTGGCAATTTATACAAAAGCCTTAAAAAAGTACATACCCTTTAACCAGAGGAATGTATCTTAAGGTCACAAGAAAGGGTATACACATAGATTCAGTCACAGAACTGCTTAGCACTGTACTATTTGAAAGTGCAAATAATGAGAGCATCATAAACACCACCATCCCCAAAAGAAAATGATTCCATAAATTGTTATTCCCAGACAATAGAACATCACAGTCATTAAGATTATATAAAAACATTGATAAATATGGACACATAAAATTTCTGGCCTGAAATGAGAGATAGTCTATAAAATAATTAGTCAGTACTCTATAAAGCTTCTTGGTCATAAAAGGCAAAGAAAGACTGAAGAACTGCTCCAGATTAAGACTAAGAGGACATGACAACGGAAAGCAATGTATAATCCTGGATCAGAAAAAAGACATTAGTGGGACAACTGACAAATCTGAATAAGATCTATAGATATAGTACTGTTAGCAATGGTACCTTCACGAGGTTGATAACTATGCTATCGTTATTTAAGATGCTCACATTTGGGGAATTTAGGTGAAAGATTATGAAAATTCTTTTATTTTATAACTATTTGCATGTCTAAAATTATTTCAAAATAAAAAGGAAATAAAAAAATTTTAACTTCTATACAACCAAAATCTAAAACAAAAATATAAGTAAATATATAATATAGCAAACAGACATGTAAAGATTGCATTTTCAATTATTAAAAACCATCTGCAGTAGTGATGCACAAAATAGGTATCTCATCGGGATCAGTGAAGCAACCTTTAGAAAATTTAGAGTTTCAAAGCTCAAGATGTTTTTTTATGCAAATTTAACAAGCTACATAATTTTAGTGTAAATTTCATATGGTTTAAGAAAAATTAGAATAATTTCTAAAAATTATACCCCTGCATAAACTACTTTTCATCACTCCCAAGTCATAATAAATTCCTACACTTTGAAACTTACATCTTTTATTTGTTATAATTACCTCATTTAATCATTCAGCATATATTTATGAGGCCTTTACTCTGAACAAGGCTCTGTGCTAGGAGCTTGGCATACATCAATGAACCCAACAAGGTTCCTTCCTTCCGAAGTTTACAATTTAGAACGAATACAATCAAGTGAAACCAACAATGGTTAACATGAAGGAGAAAGGGTCATGACACAGGAAGCAGTAAGTGCTATGGAAATACTTATTTAAACTTGTTGGTTTAATTTTAGGTAATTGCTTGCGTATCCGACATAACTGAATTGAAATCCACTTTAGGTCTTGGGCTGTGTGCTCCCAGTTGGCTGCAATTGCAACTATGATGTTCGCTAAGGACACCTAAAGAAAATAAGGAGAAGCTTAAAAGAGCTCCTCATAAGTAAAAGTAATGGGTCTCTCAATTTTCCTTCACATTCTTGTCTCCTCTCCATTGCATGGTTGGATTCTTGGGTTAACTAAACAAGCCAGAAAATTTGGTCCATGTTTCTATTTAGATGAGATACTAAATCAAATGCTTCTGTAGGTACTGATTCTGGAATGATACTGATGTTATCCTGTCAAGCTGCATTTAATACTTCTTGGCCCGATAAGTGGCTGACCCAAAAAAGAATATGGCCTGGGGAAATGGAGCAGAACAAGAACACCACCAACAGGTATTAACTCTGACACAGCACAGAGACCCCCTCAGGTACCTTACCTCTCCTTCAGGAGTGTCTGAAGGACAGAGCATTCCCCACTGAGATGGTTGGAGCGATCGAGGACCACTCACTTTTCTTGTTTTTTCAAACTGGGAAGAGATTCTTGTCATCATGCCCAGTGCGGATATATATGACAAGCGAGACAACACTTGAGTCACACCTTGACGGTCCATTTTAAATCTCTTTAGAGACCAATTTCCCTGTAGAGAGAAGACACAGAACCCCTGATTATTAATAAATTGTCTAATACTTCCCAGTTACTCTGAGAAGTTCATTGTAGGAACTACATGTTTACAAAATTATACTCAGCAATCAAAATGTCACAATTAAAATAAAAATTAGCCAGGTCACTTGCTGGGGTTTTCTAGGAATTTAATGAATATTACCTATAAATCATCGCAGAATGCTTTGATGGATCAACCTTATCACATCAAAGCAGTTATTTTCTGAAGAACTAATTATATCCCAATCAAGTCAGTTCAACTAGAGATTTCCATTCGAAGCAATAAGCTAACTAAGAGAACAGTAGCAATTTCTACACATGTTGGAATGTGCCATTATTTAAATGTCCTCCAAAATTAGTCTTAGAGAAAAATATAGCAACAGAAAAATGACTCTAATAGCAGTTATCAGGGATAATGAAGAAACTGTAGGCTTCTTAATTAAGGCTAAAACCTTCATATATATTCATATTAAGAAATATTATATCTCCTCTGTGGCTATCATGTCAATCTTAAAATAGATCCATATGAAATAAATCTTGAATATTAAACTTACTTTATCTTTTATGTGTTAAATATATTATATTAAATATACTACTTAATAGTTATATTAACCGCACATATTAAATATTCTCAATGATAATTTAAAGATTAAGGTTAGAAACTGTTAACTTTTAACGTCATTGATAACATGAATTAATGGTAGAAAATAGTATGCATAAAAAAGCAAAATAAGCCCTAGCTGGTTTGGCTCAGTGGATAGAGCATCAGCCTGAGGACTGAAGGGTCCCAAGTTCGATTCCAGTCGAGGGCACATGCCTGGGTTGTGGGTGTACAGAAGGCAGCCAATCAATGATTCTCTCTCATCACTGATGTTTCTATCTCTCTCTCCCTCTCCCTTCCTCTCTGAAGTCAATAAAAATATGTATTTTTAAAAAAGCAAAATAAAATAATTCAATGATCTTTGATTCAAAAGAAAAAAAAAATACATCTGCCAAACAGTGGTTCTTCATTTTTCTTTTGAAAATCTGATCAAATCTATGACTGTTTTCTTGAGAAAAATACACATAGATCATGAACACAAAATTTTTCATTCAATTTCCGAGGAGGACTCACGGATCCTGTGTTAAAACCCCCTCACAGAAAAATTGCTAGGGTTTCAGAAGCAGATGAGGTGGTTTGTTTGAATTAAAATATGTGACTTTAGTGTGCTCCATCACAAATTAAAATTTAATCATTATTACTGTGAAAGTCTATCACTTCAAGAACTTAAGTTTTTGATAACATGGAAAAGAGCTAAATTCTAAGAAACTACTGTTACAAAGCAAAGAAATAAAGCAAATACATTTATCACATAAGTTAACTTCTTTACTGCTTTTCCTGTTAACTCCTTTTATGCTTTGAATGAGAATGAACTTCATGAACTGACTTATACCCAGAGAGTAAGAGTAAGGTAAATAAATATTCTGCACAGAACTGAAATAAGGCAGCAGCTGCTGGCAAAAGGGAAGTAGATGGGGAGTGAAGCCAAGATGTTCAGCAAGAGAATTTGGTCTAGTATTCTGCAGGAGTACTACAAATACTGCAGGAGTATTACAAAAGGGAGAGAGAGAAACAGGGTCTAAAATCGCTCTTCTGAGAAAATTTATTTGTTGAAAATATTCTACTAATGGCAACACAGAATTTTAGAAGCTGACTATCTTCTGGTTGTCTACAAGTTGGGGTACATCTGCAACAAGGTCTGCTACTGACTTTTCTAATAAGCAGTCTTCTCTGGGAGATAATGCAGTATTACTTAAAGGCGAAAGAACTACTTAGATCAGCTATTATGACCTGAAAATCATGGGAAAGCAAGGAAAAGTAATCCTAACAGAAATGTGTTTAATGGTCTCTGGAGGCTTCTCTTCAAATATCAGGGGATCTACTTTCAGGCAAATTTGGGCCACAAGAGCTAAATGTGCCTAAATAGGCGCAAAGGCCTGGCTCTTCTCAGGTTTAGATGTAGCTGTCAATGCAAGGGCTGCGCCCATAGACTGCAAATTTCTAAAGTCAAAGACTGCAAATCTGCCACTAATTCTTTCATTAAGGGAATCAATGTGTAACATTATACTAATCTTTTGTTGAGGCAAAATCCCATCCATAAAACTAATTTTATGTCTGGCACACAAAAACGTAAACCAGACTTTATCAGATAGACCTGTAGTTGTTACACTTTAGGAAAGGGAGCAAGAACCTATCTGATAACCCTTTATGAACAGCCAGAGGCTCTGAAACACAGCAGCTGCAGAGGCCTGAATTTATCTCTCTATGTGAGGAAGAACTGATAGCCCTTTGAGGAATATAGACCTACAATGAAATGAAACATTTTGTACTGTTATGGACAAAAGCTGTCATTAAAAAACCTATGTGTAATATGCTCATTTTATTACAGAAAAAAATGGGGAAACGTATACATGAAAAGAATGACTATTAACGGTGAAACAAAGAATATACCTATTTTCTTATTGCCTCGTATAATACAAACTATAATTTGGCAATAAAAGTCATATAGCAACAAAAATTCCTACTGATAACATTTAAACTGTAGACTATATTTCAAAGTAGACAATTTGTGATTTGTAAACATCCTTTTACATATATACCAGAGGCCCGGTGCATGGATTCCTGCACTGGTGGGGTCTCTCAGCCTGACCTGCGGGGATTGGGCCAAAACCAGCTCTCCGACATCCCCTGAGGGGTCCTGGATTGCAAGAGGGTGGTTCTCAGGTGATGCACCCCGGAATCTGGCTCCCTGCTCTCTGGTTCCAGGTAGGTCACCCGAGAACCACAGCTGCCAAGTCACTGCAGTTCGGCAGCTCCTGCATCGATTATCTGCCCCCTGGTGGTCATTGCGCATCATAGCTACCAGTCGGACGGTTGGTCGGTTAGGCATATATATATATTTTTTTCCACGTAGATTCTTAAAGTACTTTAAATTTTCATTCTACTGAATAGATTTTAAAAAAACTCTAGGGACTGTCTAGCCTGCAGGCTATATAAAGCTCGAGAAATCATTTGGTCTGGCCTTGCCAAGGCATTAGGGGTGAGTTAATTAAATGTCTGACCAAATACTTATAGCAGGCTCATTTTTAAGTTGGTAATTTTGTGTGGTCTGCGAATGATGTTATAAATATCCCAATGGCTCTTGGCAGAAAAAAGGCTCCCCACCCCTGCAATGAATGACTGAAGACTTACAGTAGAAATGGCATTCACCATGCCATTGGTAATCTGGTCTTGACGCATGTGTTTGACTACATCAAACTGGGCTGCTCTTTGCTTAGGAATGACCTGGTCTGCAATCTTCTTCATTTCAGAATTAAATTTTTTGAACAAATCTTCAAAAAGAAGAGATAAAAGCTAAAAAAAAAAAAAGTATATGGTGAACTTTCAAAATGCATTACTAGCTTGTTTAATACACTTTAGGTTCTTATTAAACTGTTAAAAACACAAAATGAAGAAACTGCTTCAAACTGAAAAAATATATTTTAAAGTTCAACTTGACAAAGATGAACCTTTTTTAAAAAATATGTATTTTTATTGATTTCACAGAGGAAGGGAGAGGGAGAGAGAGAGAGATAGAAACATCAATGATGAGAGAGAATCATTGATTGACTGCTTCCTGCATGCCCCACATTGGGATCAAGCCCACAACCCGGGCATGTGCCCTGACTGAGAATGGGAACCATGAGCTTCTGGTTCATAGGTCAAGACACTCAACCACTGAGCCACGCCAGCTGGGTGGTGGTATAATTTTTTAAAGTTGTATCATACAGAGACACATTTTTAAGTATTTACAGAATGTGATTTGATATCTGAGATATTGAAATGATTTGATACCCTAAAGATTCCACCAAAAAACTACTGGAACTGATAAGTAAATTCAATAATGTAGCAGGATACAAGATAAATATCCAGAAATCGGTTACATTTTTAGACAACAATAATGAACTATCAGAAAGGGAAGCTAAGAAAACAATCCCATTTACAATTGCATAAAAAAATAAAAACACACCTAGAAATAAATGTAACCAAGGAGGTAAAAAAACCTATATTTAGAAAATTATAAGACACTGAAAAAAGAAATTGAAGAAGATACAAATAAATGAAAGCACTTACCATGTTCATGGATAGAAAGAATATTGTTAAAATGTCCATACTACCCAAAACAACCTATAGATTCAACACAATTCTTATCAAAATACCAATGGTGTATTTCACAGAACTAGAACAAACAATCTAAGAATTTATATAGAACCACCAAAGATCCTGAATAGCCATAGCAATCTTGAAGAAAGAAGAATAAAGTTGGAGGAATCATGCTACCTGATATCAAACTATACTACAAGATCACAGTAATCAAAAAAAGCATGGTACTGGCATAAAAACAGACATATAGATGAATGGAACAGAGTAGAGAGCCCAGAAAAAAACCCAAGTTTAAATGGCCAATTAATATTTGACAAAGGAGGCTAGGACATACAATAGGGTAAAGACAGTCTATTCAATAAATGGTGGTGGGAAAATTTAACAGATTATGTACAAAAAAATAAAACTAGACCACCTTCTTATACCATATACAAGAATAAACTCAAAATGGATTAAAGACTTAAATGTTAAACTCAATACCAAAAAAATCTTAGAAGAAAACATAGGCAGTAAAATCTCAAACATTTCTCTTAGTAATATTTTTTCTGAAATATCTCCTTGAGCAAGGGAAACAAAAGAAAAAATAAACAAATGGGACTACATCAATCTAAAAAGTTTTTACACAGCAAAGGAGCCATCAACAAAATGAAAAGACAAACAACTGATTGGGAGAACATTAATACATGTGATAAGGAGTTAATATCTAAAATTTAAAGAACTCATACAACTCAACACCAAAAAGCCAAACAATATATTGAAAAAAGGGCAGAGGACCTGAATAGACACTTTTCCAAAGAGGACACAGAAGATGGCTAATAGACATGAACAGATGCTCAATATCACTAATCATCAGAGAAATTCGAATTAAATCCATAATGAGATATCACCTCACACCTGTCAGAATGGCTATCATCAATGAATTAACAAAGCCTGGCCATGGTGGTTCAGTGACTGAGAATTGACCTATGAACCACGAGGTCACAGTTCAATTCCAGTTCAGGGCACATGTCCAGGTTGCATGCTCAATCCCCCGTAGGGGGCATGGAGGAGGCAGCCGATCAATGATTCTCTTTCATCATTGATGTTTCTCTCTCTCTCTCTCTCTCTCCCTCTCCTTTCCTCTCTGAAATCAATTTTTTAAAATATATTTTATTGACTTTTTACAGAGAGGAAGGAAGAGGGATAGAGAGTTAGAAACATTGATGAGAGAGAAACATCGATCAGCTGCCTCCTGCACACTCCCCATTGGGTATGTGCCCGCAACCAAGGTACATGCCCTTGACCGGAGTCGAACCTGGGACCCTTGAGTCCGCAGGCTGACGCTCTATCCACTGAGCCAAATCGGTTAGGGCTGAAATCAATTTTTAAAAATGTATTAAAAAATAAAGTAAATAAATAAATCAACAAAGAATATTCAAGAGAATGTGTAGAAAAGGGAACCCTCGTGCACTGTTGGTGGGAATGCCGATTCGGGCAGCCAACATGGAAAATAGTATAGAGGTTCCTCAAAAAATTAAAAGTGGAACAGCCTTATGTCCCAGTGATTCCACATCTACGTATATGTCTAAAAGAACCCCAAACACTAATTCAAAAGAATATATGCAGCCCTATGTTCACTGCAGTATTATTTACAACAGCCAAGCTATGGAAGCAACCCAAGTGTCCATCAGTAGGCAAGTGGATAAAAAAAACTGTAGTACATATATACAATGGAATATTACTCGACCATTCAAAGAACAAAATCTTAACAATTTGCAACAGCATGGATGGACCTAGATGGTATTATGTTAAATGAAGTAAGTCAGTCAGAGAAAGATGATATGATTTTACCTACATGTGGAATCTAAAGAACAATATAAAAGAACAAACAAAACAGAAACAGACTTATAAAGAGAACAGACTGATGGTTACCAGAGGGAAGGAGGAGTTTGAGGGACTGGATGAAATTGGTGAAGGAATTGAGTTCAGATTAGTAGTTACAAAATAGTTACAACACAGTCATGGGGATGTAAAGTACAGAATATGAAATATAGTCAATACTATTGTTATAACTATGTATGGTACCAGCTGGGTACTGGAAATATCAAGGTGAACACTTTGTAAAGTATATGATTATCTAACCACTATGCTGCATACCTGAAACTAATACAAAATAGTACTGAATATCTACTTATATGAAAACCATGGGTGGTGTTCATCACATACAAGGGAAATTAGTCAAGCACTCTGAAAGTGTTTTCACTCTTAATGTGGTGTACAGGGAGATATTAGAATAAGTTTAATCACTTTACCAGTCATTGTTTGCATCACTGTTGTTTTTATATCATGTTTTTGTTGTTTACATATCATGTTTTTGTTGTTTACATATCATGTTTTTGTCGTTTTTATATGATGCCTCTGTTGTTGTTATATCCTTTTGTTACTGTTTATTTATTAATAAATTTATATATTATTTTCATATACATTTTACTAATTTCCTTTCATCTCTCACACTTCTATTATAGAGAAAGGGCAAATAGCAATATTAAAATATCTCTGCTAATTAATTCCCTTTTTTTTTACAGAGAGGAAGGGAGAGGAATAGAGAGTTAGAAACATCGATGAGAGAGAAACATCAATCAGCTGCTTCCTGCACACTCCCCACTGGGGATGTGCCCGCAACCAAGGTACATGTCCTTGACCAGAATCGAATCTGGGACCCTTGAGTCCAAAGGCCGACGCTCTATCCACTGAGCCAAAACGGTTAGGGCAATTAATTCCCTTTTAATGTGCACGAATTTCGGCTACTAGTAAACTATAATTTAAAAAATTAGATAAATTTAAAAAAAAGAAAAGAACTGATTTGATAATCAGATTTGTTTAAACAACCCAATTTGTGGAATAGGGGGAGTGGGAGAGAGTTAAGGAGGACATAGATAAAACAAGATTGACTTCTATTGATAACTGAAGTTGCATGATGAATATGTGTGAGCAAATTGTATTTGCTAATTCTATTTTTAATATTTAATATTAAATTTCAAATATTTAGTATTATTTTAATAGCTAATTCTATTTTTACATATATTTTAAATGTTGTACATGTTTAAAGATTTTTAATGAAAACTAATTCTAAACTTTATACGGAAAGCCAAGACCCTAAAATAGCCAAGACACTCCTGCAAAAGGTGAAGGGCCTGATGACTGCATAGACAAATTGACCAATGGGTACAACCAAGAGTCCATAAAGAAACCCACACATATTTTAAAACTTGTTATATGATAGAGGTGGCACTTCAGATCATTGAGGAAATAAAGACTATATGATAAATGGTACTTGAACTTGCTATTCATTTGAAAAACAAATGAAACTGGATGGCTTACTTCATTCCATACACAAAAATCCATTCTAGATTACGAAAGAACAAATACCAAAGGCACAGGTTTAAAAATAAAAAAACAGTATTTAAAAATATATAGGCTTGACAAAACTGACCACAATTAAAATTATAAACTTTTAGACATCAAAGATCCCACAAAGTTTTGTTGTTTTAAAGAAAAAGAATCCAGACTGAGAAAAAAGAATTAGCAACACATATAACCCAAAGTAGAAACCCAAGTATATAAAAAAATCTTCAAATCAATAAGGAAAATGCAACAACTCAAATGGTATTTCAAAGAAGAAAAGCAAGAATCCTCAATGACCATATGTAAAAGAGGCTCAACCTCATTAGTAATGAAGAAAATGCAAATTAAGATCACAAGGAAATGCCACTTTACACCCATTAGATAATCTAGACAAAAAGTTAAAAGTTTGATACTAAGTCATAGGATGAAGATTATCAGCAACTCACGTACAATGCAATGAACAAATATTTGGAAAACCAGTTTGACATTCTCCACTTATGTTGAAGATTTAACTTGACTCCAATGACTACGCAATCTTATTTTTGTAATTTCTTGCATATGGATGCCAGAAGATATTAATAAGAATGTTAATATTTTTTAAAAGGAAAATATACACTAATTGTTTACATAAAGAGAGATTCTGAATTCAGTGAAATCTTGTAAGCTAAAGATTTTCTAAAATCTATACTATGTTCTTGAATGTTTACTACCCATTGGCAGTTTTTTTTTTTGACTCATAATGAAAAATTCAAAGCCAATGAATCTTCTTTAGTCATTACTGAAGAAAGAATTTCCTAAGTAGAATGTGATATTATGTTTTCCCCCCT